CTAGTAATAAGAAGCTACTAGGAGCAAAGGGCATCGCTACTAGGAGCTGGCCTTACTACTAGTAACAAGAAGCTACTAGCTTAGCTCTTATTCATCACAACTGTCGACATGTTCGACACCATGAGTTTCACCCTTCTTCACGTCATCGTAGTTCTGCCGACGAAATCAGCTCTCCCCAAACGAAAGGCTCCGCCTACATCTCCGACACTTCAAGTGACAGTCTTGACATCGCGGCCGTTGATTGCGTCAACAAGAATCATCATTTTTTGTCCATGCTGGTCACGGAATGTTCACAACTCGCCAAATACATGTGTAATTCCCTAGTGGACATGAAGCTGAATATCTCACAGAAGTTCCACCTTTGGCTTCTCCTCTTCACCAAGCAGCTCAGTGCGACTGTATTCCATGCGACCAGGTTCGCCTGCGACGTCTCTCGCAGCGCACAAATGCCGGGCAAATCCACGAAGAAGCGCTGAGCAGCAATACTGGAGACCACTTGCATCGCGAGCGTTGGACACGGCCGGGCCGTTAAGCTGGAGAGTGGTAGTAGAAGCATTGTTAGTTAATTGCTCTTTCAGCGGCCCACTGTGGTGCCCCCACAGTTTGGGGGAAGAACCCCCGAATAGATTCATTGTGCTTCTTAGATTTGACTTGATTGCGTTGACAGGGCAAGCAAAAACATCTTTATCAATTCATTCACTTGTATGGTATAGGATGTGGGGGGCTGCGGACCAAGGGGTGCCCATGTCAGTCATCCTAATACTGCGAACTCTCGATCGCGCCTTTTTGGCCAACAAAAGGTGGCCAAAACGACTGAGCCGGATGCTCCTGGATGGTCGTGCCAAGATATGGTGTTCAATTCCCGAAACGAGATGTTCGTTTGGCTTCCAAAGAATATACCGCCGTAACGGGGACTACTTTTTCAGATCGCTACTAGGGTGGAGTCCATCGCTCTTAGCTTGGAGGCCATCGCTATATCTCAATTGAAGAGGCCAAGCCCGAGCTGCGAAAGCGAGACCGACTGTGCATGGTTGGATGGATCTTCTTTCAGTTCCAAACACGTCAGTTCTTTACTTTAGGACCACACGGCTGCAACATCGGCTCGTGAACCTGGCGGTGCCCGTGAAAGATCACCGAACACGGGCCGTGCCGGGCCCGATTGAATCCTTTATAGGTCCTTTAGGAGGCTCAATTAAAATGGGTTTTTATATGGTTCAATATGGTTTAATAGGGAGAGCCCATAGCCCAATGGGTTTGGTCTATTTCTAGCTGTTCCTTCTTCCAGGGAGTCTCCAACCTGTCTGAGACCTTTTTTCTTTGACTCGCCAAGAAAGCGCTGTGGCCTCTGCAGTCTTGGCCTGCAACGAATCCAAACGAAGAGGGGGGACATCCCGATTCGGCCGTTGCACATCATCAGAGTCTAGAGTCTAGAACAATCAGCAAAAGTATGCTCAACCTCAATCTACCTCAACTAGTGAAACTTGAGGGTGAAAAGCCCAACGTTCGTAAACTCGAGGGAACTGTTAGGAAAACCTCAATCTACCTTGTTCTTCTTTTTGGTCCCTCCAGATCCTTTCAAGTTGCACCACGTCTTCAGCCAGGATCGAACTCCCAGCCGAAACACCGGTGTGGACTGACCGGTGTGGAAAAGGACAAGAAGCGAAGCGACGGAGCCGTGGCTGAAGACTAGACTGACGTTCTTCGTGGATCTCCAAGAGACCTCCTCAGAGAGTCTCAGAGTCAAGTGAGTCAAGCAGCGAACCGTGGGGGGTGGTAGGCGAAAGATGCAGCCCAGAATTGTCGCCCGTCAATCGTTTTTTTTTTGGCGTACCCGTTTCTGGCTGATGATCGTCGGGAGTTCTGAGGATTTCTGGGCGATTCTGAGACCAAACCTCAGGGTCCTCGCTTCCGTCATGCCATCATGGATTTCTACATGATCACGGTACTCAATCGTGGGAAAGAACCTGGTCCAAATGACCCGAATTGAACTTCATGTTGGATGCATTTGGGCATCTGGCTTTTGAGTTGGATGTGATTGAGTTCCTCTTGTTCTCCCCAAAAGCCGAAGCAAAGAGAGAAACCATCGGTCCCTCCGCGCCGAAGCGCCGGTCACGGTCATCTCCCGCCCCCAACGGTTCACTCGCTCCACCGGTGCAGCCCCAGTGGCAGAGATGCCCACTTCTGAGCAGACCTGCCGAGTGATCAATTCGATTCAATCCGAACGGCCTCCGCTGTGTAAGACCACTGGTTGACCTGGTGTTGTGTCAGATCCATACTGTGAGAGTCCAGTCCTGATTTTACCCCTACGGTAGTGGTGGATTATGACTACCAGGTGGAGTATTTCATGAGTCATTGGAAGTTCTGGGTTAGTCAAACACAATGGTTCTGTAAAGACCATTAAATCAATGGTTGATTGAATCCTAGGGAACCACCAGGGAATACATCCACGTGAAGTGTGGAACATCCACGGTGTTCTTTTTTATGGTTTTCACACGCGCAGGCCCGGTGCGCACCGGGTTGAGTTTTGTCCTCCAATTCCCTGCCTTCTGCGTGGATGCAACCTCGTGCCTGGCAAGTGCCGCAGGTAGACCCACTTCTGGTTCCGTGAGGGCTTAAAGCAACAGCGCGTCCTCTTTTGATCGACCAAGACAGATCTTGAACCCGTCAAGGGCATCACTCCTAGTTTGGAGGCCATCGCTCGTAGGTTGGAGGCCATCCCTCTCAGGTTGGAGGCCAAGTAAAAAAACTGCGAAGGTCTCAGCTGACAGCAAACGTACAAGGAGCAGACTCGCAAAAACAAACCCAATGTACGAAGGAAAACGACGACGCAAACAATGGACAATGCTAGGTTTTGGGCTCTAATTTGGAATCAATTTATTGATTGATTTGATTGTTGTTAAATTGCGCTCAGAGAAAAGACACATCAACATGCAGTGACACGAAAAGACCAGGAAGGCAAACACAACATGCCAAAACCTCCCAAAAAAAAAACCTGTCGACAGAAATTTGCCACCCCCAAACGACCTACTGACCCGGGACGCGAAAAAAACACGGGGCATGGCCCATTCTGTCCGCCCGTTGGACTTTCGGTTTTGGCACCCGAACCCCACCAAACGAGAACGTAGAACCGTCCCATGTGAAGCACCATGTCAAAAAATGAAACACCAAAAAGACATCAAAAGGCACCAAAACACGTCACACCAAAATAGAAGCACAATGCCAAAGTGAATGCACCCTCCGTCTTGTGTCCTTTTTTCCATCACCTTCTTTGTGTGACACCACAGCCTATTCCGACCGCAACTATGTGCTCAGTGTTTTCAACTCATCACAGGCACCAAAACCCGAAACCCGGCCGAAGTCCGCCGTTCCCCGCGCCGTGTCGCCAGCCAGAGGAGTCCAGCCGCCAACCTGCAGCGGAACGCAGACATGTCTCGGCAGCTTTGGACTCGGTGAAGTCATGGGAAGCCCCACAATGCCGAAGCGGTCGCCAGGAGTAAAGCTGCAAGGGTGGTGAGGTCTGGTCGCTGCCTGGTTACAACACAAGCCTGTTCAAGAATTCGGGTCCTGGATTTTTACATCTTCTCTGGAAGTTCCTTGATGCAAAGGAAGTTCCTTCAAATGAGTGCTCCTTCGAATGAATACCTTGGACTCCCCAGTCCTCAGAGAGGTTGCTGCATGGTTGATCAATTCCATGTCTTCGGCATACCGCTAAATATGAAATGATGCGCTCTTGTGCGAACGAATTCCAACCAGAAAGTGCACGAAACAGATCAGCATCTCCAGTGTTCTAACCGAGGACTCAGGGATGTTACTGTTTGGGGATGAGTGTTTTATGCGCAAAATCATGCAACATCTCGTTGCTCCTTGACATCAACCAGTATTTTCCAGATTTTTCCAGTGCTCCGGTGCGAAATAGTGCATATGCTTCAATCATATTCATTCCACACTTGCACACTTGGCACTAGGTGGAGGCCATCGCTACTAGGGTGGACGCCATCGCTACTATAGGTGCAGGCCATCGCTACTAGGTGGAGACCGTCGGTACTAGGGTGGAGGCCATCGCTACTAGGTGGAGACCGTCGGTACTAGGGTGGAGGCCATCGAGGCCATTGCTACTAGGTGGAGGCCAT